AAACAGAAGGGAAGAACATGCTCAGCATTTCTCAAGTTGAAAGAACTGAAGAAAAAAATTTAAGCTTTGGGATGTAGTACTGAAGGATCATAAGGGCAAAATATTGAATGATGCAGAAAGTATCAAAAAGAAATGGTTGATGATTAGCCATTTCAAGAGGTAGCATATGATCAAGAACCAATGGTAGTAAAGACGAAGTCCAAGCTGTACTGAAGGCGTTGGTGAAAAACAAAGCTCCAGGAACTGACAGAATACAAACTGAAATCTTTCAACAAACTGATGAAGCACTGGAGGTGTTTATTCACCTATACCAAGAAATTTGCAGAGAGCTACTTGGCCAATTGACTGGAAAATATCCATATTTGTGCCCTTTACAAAGACAGGTAACCCACAAAATGTGGAAATTACAGAAAAATATCATTAATAACACATGCAAGTAAATTTTTGCTGAACAAAATTCAAAATCAGTCGCAACAGTACATGAACAGGGAATTGCCAAAAATTCAAGCTGGATTCAGAAAAGGATGTAGAACAAGGGATTATCATTGCTGATGTTAGCTGGATCGTGGCTGAAAGCAGAGAATACCAGAAAGATGTTTATCTGTGCTTTATTGATTATGCAAAGGCTTCTGACCTTGAGGATCTTGACAAACTGTGAATAACATTAACAGTCATTACAACAAGAAGATAGAAATGGTTTAAAAGCAGGAAAGGTGTGCATCAGGTTGTATCCTTTCAACATACTTATTCATCAATCTGTATGCTAAGCAACTAATCCAAGAAGCTGGATTATATGAAATAGAGCAAGGCATCAGGATTGGAGGAAGACTTATCTGCAATATGTAGGTAATACAACCTTACTTGCTGGAAGCGAAGAGAACTTTAACCTTACCGACGAAGATCCATCCTTTGGTATGGATTGCACATCATGTAAATAAACCAAAAATCCCCACAAATAGACCAATAAAGGACATCCTGATAGATGGAGGAAAAGATAGAAAGTGTCTAAGACTTAATTTTGCTTGGATCCACAACCAACACTCATGGAAGCAGCAGTCAAGAAATTAAAAGACGTATTTTGTTAGGCAAATCTGCTGCAAAAGACCTCTTTCAAGCGTTGAAGAACAAAGATGTTAGTTTGAGGACTAAGGTGCACCAGACCCAAGCCATACTACTTTCAATAGCCTCATATTAATGTGAAAGTTGTATAATGAATAAGGAAGATTATAGAAGAATCAATGCATTTTAATTATGGCCTTGGTGAAGAATATTAAAAGTACCATGGACTGCCAATCAAAACAAATCTGTCTTGGAAGAAGTGCAGTCAGAATGCTCCTTTGAAGCCAGGATGGCAAAACTTTGTTTCTCATACTTTGGACATGTTATGAGAAAGGACCAGGCCCTAGAAAAGGACAATATGTTTGGTAAAATGGAGGGTCAGCAAAAATGAAGAAGACCATCAACAAGATGGATTTAGACAAATATAATAATAATTGTGAGGATGGCACAGATAGGTCAGTGTTTCCTTCTGTTGTGCACAGGGTTGCTACGAGTCAGAACTGACTCGATGGCACTTAAACAACAGGATTGGGAGGAGCTTATTTTTGAGGACATGCAAATGTTCTGGAATTCAACATGGTGATGACTATACAACTCTGTGACTATATTAAAAACCACTTACTTGTATACATTAACAGTGTCCCAGACACTAAGGTTCATCACCAACTCAAGGAACAGTGCCAACTCTTAGGTCACTAATGGCATGCTGAATTTTTTTAGTAATACTCCTGGCACTGCTTCTGTCAGGCAATGTACTCTCAACCCAAGAGGTGCTTTGCTTGCATGAAAAATGTGGGACTAGGGAACCTTACTTTGTAGGGGTAAAATTTGGGAGGTCAGACATATAAATCATGTTTGGAAGCTGGCTTTTCTCTTGCAAATTAATAGCATTTTTTAAAAAACCAACAATAATATACTTACCCTTTTTAACGTGAATGTCAATTGTTTGCTGCCAACAGTGGTATCCGATACATTCAATGTCCCATTTCTTGCTTCAAGTTTCAAACGATCTTCAAGGGTTTTGCTATAGAAAGTTTAATAGAATGATACATATAATTAGCATAATGTTTTGATACACCATATGAGATAAATTTTAATTAAGTTCATATGAAGACGAAAAATCTTTTACATACATGATAAATAAAAAAATTTCTTTCATTTAACATAATCAATGGAAATAGGGCACTCAGGAAATCATATTCATACTCAATAAGTATATGATAACAAAAACAGTGACTGGCAAAAACAGTCACTAATATTTTATGTGACAAAGATGTCAATGGGTGCTACTTATCTTGATAAATCACACTTCTGAAGCCTGTAATTCACTATGATGGTCAGTGGCCACTTATGCTTCTAAAGCATTATATATTGAAGCCATGCCCAAGTTAAGTGTGTTGTTGTTGTTGTTAAGTTTCGTCAAGTCTGTTCCAACTCACAGTGACCCTGTATAGGGTTTCCAAAGAGTGGCTGGTGGGTTTGAACCGACGACCTTGTAGATCAAACTAACTTTGTGGTCTAGCACATTATCCTGCAGTGCCACACCAGGAGCATTTTAACCACTTCTGTACATTCTAAGGAGCCCTGGTGGCACAATGGTTAAACACTAAGGTTGGCAGTTTGACCCTACCCAGCAGTTTGGTGGGAGAAAAGACCTGGTGATCTGCTCTTGCAAAGACTGTTGTTGTTGTTAAGTGCCATCGAGTCGGTTCTGACCCACAGTGACCCTGTACAGGGTTTCCGAGGCTATAAATCTTTACTGGAGCAGAAAGCCTCACCTTTCTCCCGCAGAACAGCTGGTAGTTCGAACTGCTGACTTTGCAGTTCGCAGCCTGATCTGTAACCACTACGCTACCAGAGCAAAGATTACAGCCTAAAGAAAACTCTATGGGTCAGGTCTACTCTGTCACATTGGGTACCTATGAGTCAGCTGACCATGAGTCAACGGTACCCAACAACCACCATGAACACTCACCTTCTTACAAAGGAATCAACACAAATTGAGTTCTCTAGGTCAAACTACAGAGAACTATGATAGCTTATTTTCCTTTCACTCAGTCTTAACTCATCAGACTAAAAGTCATCTGAACAACCTGAAAAATGAACAGGACTGATTTCACTAAGAGAAAACAAGATCAATTATATTGAGAAAATTCTCCCTGATTCAGTCCTATTCACTGCTATTTATCCACATAGTTCGATTTCTTTTTGAATTGCTTTCTGACAAATAATTAACACATCCTCTCCTTTTCAATAAAGATGGTAAATCTGAACTCTGTACTAGTTATGCAATGTTTTGTTTTAGTTAAGTGCTGTTGAATTGGTTCTGACTCATAGCAATCCTATATAGAATTTCCAAGGAGCAGGGGGAGATTTGAACCACTGACCTTGTGGTTAGCAGTCAAGTGCTTTTCCTACAGCACCACACCAGGACTCTAGTTATGTAGTTAAATAATATTAGCTATATAATACTTTACAAAATGTTGTTATAATAGTATTTTATCATAAAATCAAGACAATGGTCTTTTTTGTTGTTGTTGAATTGGCTTTGAGTAAAAAAAAAAAAATGAATTAAGCCTACAGGCATGTACTGTCAATAAGTTTTAGCAGTTTGCTTTAACCCTTCTAAAATGGCTAAAGCAACGCATTCCTGTTACCATGATGAAACTGGGAGAAAGAAGAGGGAAGAAAAAGAGAAAGAAAATGGTTCTCTCTTGTCTTTTATCATCTCCTCAAAACTCAGTAAATATACTTTCCTCTCATGCTCTCCTTGTACCAACCCAAACTGAATATACCTTTTAACAGTTGATACTAAAAATCTTGAGTGAATAAAAGGATAAAGGCTGAATTTTGTGAAAGAGTCTTCTATTCCCTAATATACGATCTTTGTAAATAATTATGGGCATAACATAGCTCTGAAAGGATCCAGAGGACAAAGTGATGCTCCTTTGAAATTCTCAAATTAATGTTTGATGCTCACACCATGAGAGATTTATCTCTAGTTTATAACTACCAGTAATGTATTAAACATACCTTCTTTATATAATTTGAGGCATAAAGTGGTTAGCATAAAAGTGGTACTCTTTTCTAAGCAATAATGTTATTAAGAAGCACTTTTAAAGTACTTTTCATCTTCAAAGTTCTTTACAGACTAACTAATTAATCCTTTCAACATCCCTGAGACAGAAGTATTTATCCTTTACAGATGGCAAAAAGGGAGGTAAGATATTAAATCATTTGCCCCCAGGCTACAAGAAAGGATTCAAACCTAAGACCAGGATTCCATTTTAAGAACTTCTGGTTTCTCAACATATGTCAGACAATAACTGATTTATAAACTTTTCCAATAAGTATTTTAAATAGCAAGTTTCCACATGAACAAGTGAATGAAATGAAAACTCAGGTTTGTTTGTTTTTTAAGAAAACAACAATTCAAAAGTTAAATGTAAAGTGACTCTAGTATGTATATGAATTATGACAGCATAAGCAAAATCCTCAACCTGTTCATTTTTGTTCTTTGATTTCATAAACTCGGAGGTTCCAAAGTTAACAGGAACGCTGAATCAGTATGGTGCCACAGAGACAAGGTGGTACCCGGCAAACACTAATTTGGAAAGAAAAAGACTTTTCAAGTAAATTGTGGGAAATTACTACTCTTTTAAGAATGCCCTTATTTCCTCCATGATAGGGTATATAAATTCTGGTTTTCTCTCAATGTACTTTTGACGTGCACTTGTAAAAACTTGTTCTGTCTAGGCTACTTGGAAAGACAAGCTGGGTTTAAGAATGAGCCATGGCACGAGATCAGACACAGGCAGGGACTGTGTGTGCAGATTTCTACATTAAAGCAAGTTCCACTTCCCTCCCTTTGAAAGTCAGTTTACTCAACGTGGCTGCTAACCAGCAATTCCAAAGCCTGCTGCTTGAGTGTGATTTTGGTCAGAGATGACTTTAAAAGTAGACAGACACAGCTGTGGTAACACCTGAAAAGTTTCTATTGCAATGGAACACAAAACACAGAGAGTCAAGTCGCATGTTGTTCCTAGTATTTCATATCTATATATAACTGTTCAACTGTGGCAGCCCCGTGCCTACACTCCCCTCTTTCCCTGTTCCCCCCTAACACACCTAAACTCTTTCTTTTCTCTTCTCCAGCTATGTGTCAGGTCTGTGGCCATGTACCTTTGGATACTTTGTAACTGATGAGAAAGTTAAGAATTTTAGGAGTCCCAGGGTTGTGCAAATGGTTAACAAGCTTGGATGCTAACTGAAAGGTTGGAGGTTGGAGTTTACCCAGATGTAATTGGGGCAAACAGAACCAAAAAATCTTCGAAAGTTTGGAGTGACTGTTAAGTAGATAGATATGGACTTAAAAGTTAAAAGAGTGAAATTAGTACAAGGAGGATAAGGCTATTAGGGGAAGAACTGAAATTATTAGCAGGGCTATCTTAAAAATAAAAATATATGGTCATAAACTACAAGGGAAAAATCAAATTAGATATTTATTATATGCCCCAAGGAAACTGAAAAATATACTTCTTTGAGGATTTAAAACACACACACACATACATATTAAAATTTTAATTAAAAAATAATGCTCCTCAACTGAAAGGTTTTTCATTGCTTTGTGGAAAGAGAGGTAGAAGAATGGAAGATGATACACAGAAAGACACATGCTTTAATACAGTATTTAGGAGAGTTAGACACTAAATTAAAATAAGAGTCACCTTTCCATGGTCAACACTGAAAGGAAAAAGAAGAGGAAGGAGAAATGGAATCCACAGACATGTACTTTGTTCTAAATAACTAATTCTGACTGACATTTACTTAGACTGTAAGGGGTATTCAAAATCCCATTTGGCGCTTTTACTTTGCATATGCTGTTTCAAAGCCCCTCTTTCAGGAGAGGTAAATTCAAGTAATCACAAAATCTAATGCCTCATCAGCTTAGGTAAAATTTTAAAAGACTCCTAATATCCACTGTTGCTGTAAATGTGAGGCAAATATGGCCAGAGAATAAATAAACTGTTAGTCTTTTTTGGAGGGCAACTGGCAGTGTCTGTCAAGCAAATTCGATTACTAGGAATGTATTCTTAAAAAACAACACTGTGAGCATAGCTGTAACTGTGAAAAAGGTAAGAAAGAAACAAGAAACAACTTAAACACCCAAATTAAGGGGTATTTATATAAACAGCACATGTATCCATAAAGTAATTTGCTCCCATAAAGATTACTGCCTAGAACATTCTATGGCACAGTTCTACTCTATGCTATAGCATTACAATGAGTTGGAATTGACTTGAAGGCACCAAAAAGCAAGGGAGACTCACAGGAACGCACAAAAAAAGCTCCAAGATATATTGGCCCTGGTGTGGTGCTTCAGGAAAAGCACTGGACTTGTAATCACAAGGTAGGTGTTCAAACCCACCAGCCGCTCTCAGAAACCCTACACAAGGTTGTTATGAGTCAGAAAAGACTCGATGGCACTTAACAGTGTTCAATGAAAAGAGCAAGTAAAACAACAATGCCGTTAGTACGACATTATTTGTGTTCAAGAAAAGAGAAAACTATATACATGTTTACATATGTGTATAAGAGAGAGTACATATGAGTGATCGAATTTTTTAAAAAAATTCACAGGATGACATACAAAATTACCCCAGAGGGTTTGTGGGGGGATAAAAGACTTTCACATTTGATATTTTTAAGTATTATAATGATAATATACTTATACATACGTGGGTACATATTGCTTGAGAATATATATTTTAAATTCTAAACATTCTAAAAAAGTATGTTGTTACAGTACCATGTAGTTGGTTCTGACTCCAAGTGACCCTGTATAGGGTTTCTGAGGAGTGAGTGGCTGGTGAGTTTGAACCACTGACTTCAGTGCTTATCCTATGGCGCCACACCAGGATTAAATTGCTGTCAAAACTAGATTTTAAAAATGCTTGTAATAAAACATTAAGATTGATTTCCTTCAGCTTTTATCAACTATCAGCAAGGAAAATTAGCTAGGCA